CTTAGAACTTAGGATCTTTATATAAAAAAAATAGTAGAATGTAGTATAGGTACCTATGCATTTTTCCACGATGTAAAATGTTAGCAGTTGAAATATTATGTAACACTATCTTGGTCTTTTCTTTTCATGTGCTCTGGCGTAATATAAATTAAAATAACGTTATTAATAGGTATAAATCATTAGGTGTTTATAAGTACCATACGACAATAAAATAATGATTTAATGTAGTCAAGCATAACAAACGTGATTAGTCGCATATTGATTAATGATTGATACATCCATGATAAGTATTATGTGTGTCAAACTTAAGTTCTATTTTATTCTATCTGATGGTTTTAGAAGTAAATTTCTTATCATATTGAATAAATTAAATCATTTAATTGAAAAGTACATTTATTATGAAGTTTAAATTTTTAAGTCTAAAAATATGTGTTTAATAAAAGATATTAGTTAGGTAATTAGGGTTGTTTTGACCACCATATTGTGACTAACTGCTGGTTAAGTATTTTTTTTAATGACCTATTTCAATAAATGTCTACAATTATATTATTTAAAAAATGCTAATTTGTAGAATTCTGCAATAAAAGAAATACTTAATAAGTATTGCTACTGTGTCCTTGCAACGTTTTGAGCAGTGTTTCTTAAACTTTTTGAGAGAGAAAACACTACATAAACTAAATAGTAATATTTTATTTTATGCCGGACCCTTATTAAAATTAATATTATTAACTAATTAAAAGAAAAGGGTAGAAGTTTTGAGTAATAAAACCACTATATGACATAAGTTATTCCTTGAACCTCGGGATGTCACTGGACATAGTTTAAGAAACACTGGTTTTATTCAACTACACATGGTCGATTTCTAGGTGTCTTGCTGTTCCACTGTCTGACACTGTAGAAAAAATGTACATTTAGAAACTTAATTAATAATTTAGTACCTATATCAATAGGTAGCTCCTAGTAACWGACAACTGTTGACTTAAATATTTAAATGTTTAAAATTAGTCTTGAATTCTACAATATTAAATACTTACTACCTAACAGAAAAGAAAAAAATCATCTTAGATAGGTAAGTTGAGGTTCATAAGTCAATATCATTAGTTTATGATTATCAAATTGAATTGATTCTTTTGTTTTGTAATTATATTATATTACATTGTTACCTACCTAACGAAACACTTATTAAAAAAATACCTAAATGATAAATTGATAAATACAGTTATACTGAGATTACTTGCGTCTATAAATGAGCCTTGAAACATAATTATTTTATCTCTTCTCAATGAATTCTGTTTTTGACCAATCATTGCAGTAAAAATATTTATGAGAAGTGTAAAGGTAGGTGTCCTAATCTCGGCATAACCGAATACCTAATAAAAATGATTATAGATRGTAAAAATACTTATTGTTGTACCACACTACTGTAATCATTTGTTAGTAATGAAAAGTAAAAACCAGTATGTATTTACAATTTTAAATTCTTAAACATTAATCGTAAATTGTGTGCCAAAAGTTTTTTAATCTATCACTGATAAATAATAATAACTGTCAAAGTGTTAAAGACACATAAAAATAGAATTGCTAAGTTASAACTAAATTCGGTATTAACATTTAACAGCATTCTATTCATATATATCCCTTGAGCTTAATTTATATATCTCACTTAATTATTTTTAGTAAGCTGACATTTATGAATAGATAGGTAGGTAGTACCTACCTACATACCAAATTTGTAAAGTTWGTTAAATTGACTTTTTTAAGCAGATTTTAGGATTTTACAATGCTTAACAGTTTTTTAATACTCTGAAATAAGCTTATTCAGTTGTTATTTATAGTTGCAGCTTATTAAATAAGAAAAAAAAATGGAAAACACCAAAGTTAGTGTAGAAATAGTCACCAATAAAACATATTTTATAGAGAACGAWGTGGATATTTCTTTCAAATTCATTGATAAAGTAAGAATTAATGTTCAATTCATAAATGTAATATCTTAAGATATAATACCTTTTTATATTATAGACTTTGAAACAAAAGTATTCCGATTGGATTGCATTATATAAATGTAGCAGCAATAGAAATCTAGAAGAGTTTGTTGCAGTAGAAACTGATTTAAAAATGCACACACAGACAAAATATGGTTTCCWTAAAGTTACTTTCTATGCATATCAGTTGAAAAATGTTGAATGTAATGAAGCTTATGAATTTCTATATGGCAATGAATCTAATGAGGTATGTTAATTTTATCCAATAAATCAATTTATAAAATATGGGCAAATATATTGTGTAATTTTAGATTTATGGAATTAGTCGTCCAGTACGT